CCCCCCCCCCCCCCCAGAGTTCTTAGTTCTTCATCCTTAACTTTGAACTTCACTCCTGCATACTAACAGTTTACTCCCCTACTTGGTTTAAACCTTGAACAGTGTTTCCCAAAAAATATTCTTAACTACATTGAATTTCAGTAACTAGGATCATAGAATTCTGTATAATTTTTGCAGTGTTTCTATAGTGTTGAGGAAAAATAACTAATGAATAGTATTTGCTCAGTGTCGCTTTTCAGTTTTTCTCTTGTCAGTGTTTCTTAAATATTTTGATGCCTGTTACATGAGAAATACCTCATGGAGACTGAAATTATTTCCAGGCCAACCCTAGAGGGTGATCGCCCAAGATGAAAAACATAGTTTTGGGAGCAAAGGGATGTGGTTGATGGTGGCAGTGATGTTGAGGAAGAAAAAAAAGATTGAGAATTTACAGTGGTAGATGGCCCCTTTCTCTCTTACTTCAAGCCAGTATACTCTCCTTTTTTCTCACTCTGTCATTTCATTTCCCTTTCCTTCTGTCATCTTCTTTCCACTCTTTTCCTGAGTCTCTATGGGGGCTTGGGCACCTTATTCAGCTCGTAAGAGCTGAGGGAGTCATTGTTCCCCGTAGTGTGTGTAGGTGGGAAACTTCTTTGGCATCTCAAATTCAGTTTGATTGTGTTTTCGCAGAGCAGCAATACATTATTATTATGGGTATATTATGGGATAAATTGATTTTTATGTGCCAGCCTGCATATTTAGCCACTATATTTATCTTTGTTTCTATGGAAAATTGAAAGTTTTGAAAGGTTTTGGAAGACCTGCAATGTGTAAGACATTTGTGCTAAGTATTCTGTGGAATGTAGATGTTGAGGTATTCTCCCTGCCTTTCAGGAACTTATTTGTGTGATACTTGTGTTTGGGGTTTTGCCAATGAGACGAAATCTAAATATTGACTAGACCAGTTGTTCCCAGATCTTTCAGTATCCTGGGCAAGTGAAATACAAAGTAAAGTAAAATAAAGGAAGAAACATACATGACTATTACATTTAAAATTTTGCCAATAAGACTTTTAAAGCGAACTGCTACTTATTGTATCATTTCCTATAGGAAGGCTGTTTTAAGAACAAAAGAGTAAGACTGAAGTAATTTCAAAAAAGGAACAGTCCTTTCCAAAAATGTCAAGTTGGCAAGCCTGTAGTTGTGTGTGTATGTGTGTATTTCATGGTTATTATTGTATATATTTTGCCATATATCATTGGCACCTTTATATAGACTGGGGTTAGGAGAACCACTGATATAGAATAAGAGTCAGCAAACTTTTTCTATAAAGGACCATATATAGTAAATATCTCAGGCTTTGCAGAACTAGGATCCCATCCCCACACCCACCTTCAACCCAAACCATTCAGCTCTGCCATAGTAGTGGGAAAGCAGCCATAGAGAGTAGATAAAGTGTTGTTTGTGGGTGTCTTCCCATAATACTTTATTTACAAAATAAATGGTATTAAGCTGAATTTGGGCCTCCTGATCTAGACAAACCTAACTCATTCCATGAATAAGAGTTCCAGAGACATTAAGTAACTTGCCTGATAAATGGTATGCAAAAGTGACTCACATTTTTAATAGAATAAAATAAATGTTTTAAATGTCCCTGCCTATGTAAGAAGTTGGATTAGATTATTAAAAAAAAAAAAACTATTGTTTGGTAGGGCAGAAAGGCCTGCTCTGCTGGGGTCCATAGTTGACTAAATGTTTTACTAATTTAGTGTTTAACTCCCCACTGTATTGAGATTGTCCTATTCTGCCAGGTTTATTCAGCTGATATTTATTGTGCATATATTATACATCAGCCTCTGCCCCAGTCATGTTGATTCAGAACTGATTCATTAGAAGAATCTGATTTTTTTTTTTTTAAGTTATGTTTTACCTTTTGGATCCTATTTCACTTAGCTTAAAAAATAAGGCAAGGTGAGCCAATTGTATTGCTTGTGTAACAGCATTTGAAGCCAATTTTAGGGGTTTGTTTTGTGAGTTTTGGAGCTAGTGACATAATATGGTAGTATAGAATTGTTTATTTGAGCTCTGCTTTGATAATACTTTGCTCACTTACTAGAGGATAGCTAATGTGTTTTTGTCTTTGAATTTATTCAAATCCTAGTCATGCTTTTTACATCAGCCCTGTTTAGTTCTTTTCCAAATCTGATTCTCGAAACCTGATTGATACCTGCAGAGTTCTGATACTGCAAATCATAGTGCTTCCAAGAAATTTCCACTTGAGGATTATTATTATGATGACGGTGGGGATGGTGAAGATGTTGATGATGACAGTGATAATGGAGCCCACGTTATTTGATTTTTTACTAAAGTACCAAGGATTTTACCAGTATTAACTATCTTCATACACATTTCTTTCCTTCTTGTTACTTTGACTGCTATCCATCTCTCCCACTAAAGGCTAATCATCACTTGTGCACCCATCATATATGTCCCCATTTAAGGCTGTTACTCTAGCAGTTCTCTTGTCTCTTTCCTACATTACCATTTTTTTTCTCCCTCTGCTGGATTAGTTTTATCAGCATACGTGTATATTGTTTCATTCCCATCTTTCAAAAAAAGAAGTTTTTTTTTACTTCGTATTTTTGTCCACCTATAGCCCATTTTTCTGCTTCCTTGAAGACTTTTTTTGTTTGTTTGTTTGTTTTGTTATTTTGCGGTACGCGGGCCTCTCATTGTCGCGGCCTCTCCCGTCGCGGAGCACAGGCTCTGGACGCGCAGGCTCAGCGGCCATGGCTCACTGGCCCAGCCGCTCTGCGGCACGTGGGATCCTCCCGGACTGGGGCACGAACCCGTGTCCCCTGCATCGGCAGGCAGACTCTCAACCACTGCACCACCAGGGAAGCCCCCTTTAAGACTTTTAAGAAAAAGAGCTGTCTGTACTCACTGTCTTCATTTTCTGAAGACAGATGAGGATGCACACCTCCACCCCCACCCAAACAACTTTTGTCAAGGTCACCAGTGAATTCTACTTTGCTAAATCTTAATTGACCTCCTAGTACCATTTGACATAGTTAAGCACTCTGCCCATTCTTGGACCATTCATCTCCTTTGCTGGGTTTTCTTCATATCTGTGCAACATATCTAAACAACATAGAGTGCCTTGGGAGTTCCATGGTGATCCAGCGGTTAGGACTCTGTGCTTTCACTGCCGTGGGCCCAGATTGAGTCCCTGGTCAGGGAACTAAGATCCTGCAAGCAATGCAGCGCCGCCAAAAAAAGGTCACTATTAAAATAAATAAACAGCATAGAGTTCTTCAAAGTTTAGTCCTTGGTCTTCTTTTCTGTTTGAACTCATTTCTTGAGTTACCCAGTCTCATGGTTTAAATACTGTCCATATAGTCTAATTCCAAAATGGATACCTATTCACCGACTCCAGACTTGTGTCTCTTTTGGCCTACTTGATATCTCTGTTTGAAAGTCTAATAAGAATGTCAAAACTTTACATGTCCAAAATTGAGCTCTTGAATTTTCTGCCCTAAATTGTACTCTTCCTCATCTCGGTAAATAAATAAATAGCTCAGTAAATAGTACCTCCATCCTTCCACTTGCTCAGACAGACATTAAGAATTTTCCTTGACACTTGTTTCTCTCACAGCCACATCCAATCCATTAGCAAGTCTGGAGGTTCTACTTTCAAAAATATCCAGTATCTGACCCCTCTTACCACCTCTGCTATAAGCACTCTGGTTTAATAGTAATTATAATAATAGTCAAAGTTTTGAAAGTTAAAAAGGATTCACTGAGGTGGGTAGGTAGAAGTTAATTTCAGGCAGAAAGGGCAGAGCACAGTCATAGGCATGAACAGTGTTGAAGAGATTGGTGTACTCAGGGGACAGGAGTACGTTGCTCAAGGGATAGGAATACGTTATACCTTAGAGCCAAGGTGTGGAGTTTGAGAATGGTAGAAAATGTACTTTGGAACCTGGATTCCCAGTGGCTGGACTTATCTATCTTTAGGCTGCTTGTTATCAGCCGCAACAGTAGGACATTCGCCAAACCTAAATGGTAGCTCCCGGTGGCAGTGGTTCTCCATAAGTAAAGGAGAAGAATTAGACCACCCCAAGCCCCAAGGTGATGAGATATATTCTCCTGCCCCTGACCAAACCCACGCACAAGACATATCCACACAAACCTTTGTTTGAGAATCACGGTTGGAGGCAGTGGGCCCCCAGGATAGATTTTTTTTTGAAGCAGTAACTCTGGTGGCAGTCTGCAGGAGTTGCTTATTTAGTTGTTTTTATAGTGGGTGCTGAAGAAAAGATAGATGCTTATGACTGTTTGGGAATCATTCCTTGACCACTTCAGTAGCTGGAGGGGAGCTGGTGGAAAGAGCTGAGCAAGATGAATGCTTATTTTTGTCTGTTACTTTTTTTTTTAAACTAATTGTCTAGATTTACAGTGCCATTAGTAGTCTTATAGTGGTTGACAAAATAACTGAATGCTTTTTTTCATTCTTTTCTAATTCTTTAGGAGCGCCTTTTTACCCAAGTCAGCCAGTGTATCAGTCAGCACCTATCATAGTGCCTACGCAGCAGCAGCCCCCTCCAGCCAAGAGAGAGAAAAAAACAGTAAGAGATCTTCATTAAGTTTTCTCACTTTAAAATTGAATGTCCATTTACTTATCAAATAAGTTTACCCACAGCTGTAATAATTATTCACCTCAGTTCCCAAATGACTGCCAATTTTTATTCCTCCCTTATATCCTCACCACTAGACCTGGAGGATTTGTATGGACATATAATTAGATGTTGCAAGTACCCTTTGCTTAATATCAATTCTCAACATGCACTGAGCTAGCTATGCTAAATGACAACATGCCATCCAGCTCCAGAACAGGAAGGTTTAATCTTCTAAAGTCTCACTAAGTGGGAGGAATTTGAGCTCGGTTCTCACATCCTTGTTGTCCTTTAACTCTAGTCCTAGTCAGCTCTATATTCAAATATGAATTGACAGGGGAAAAATAATAGCACAAGAGAAAATGGGCATAGTATTAAGGACAGCAAGAAAAATCTTTCCTATAGAATATATTTATCTTAAGAAACAGAAAGTAGAATTTAGAAAATGTATTGTAATTGTTTTAAATAAATTACAGAGACTTTGCCTCTGTCTCTTCAGGCAGGCCCAAGGGAATTAGAGTACAGTAACATGAAATACGCACCACAGAATATTCTGTAGAAGAGCGGCTTGCAATCTTTTATCCATCAGAACACACAAAATGAATGATGTTTATAAGAGATTCCCGCATTCACACAAATAAAGTAGGTGGGAGTGACATCATAGCAATACTCTTGCAAGTACTCTCATTTAATAAAAATTAATGAGGTTCAGAACTTTGGTTCGTTTTTTATCAGAGACAAATTATTTGTGCACACATCATAATAACCATGACATGCCAATGTATCATGACACTACAGTTGAGAAACTGCTGTGGAAATGTTGATACAGCATGGTAGATGTTAGACTTGAAGAACACTCTCAGAATGCAGAAAAATTAATAAAGAAAATAATGAAAATGGAACACGGTATTCATAGATGTTACTGAAGAAGAAAGTAGAATAAATGAATTGTAAAACAGTACATAAAACTGTAGTAGGGGACTTCCCTGGTGTTGCAGTGGTTAAGAATCTGCCTGCCAGTGCAGGAGATACGGGTTTGAGCCCTGGTCCAGGAAGATCCCACATGCTGCAGAGCAACTAAGCCCATGCACCACAACTACTGAGTCTGTGTGCCACAACTACTGAAGCCCGTGCACCTAGAGCCCGTGCTCCACTACAAGAGAAGATACTGCAACGAGAAGCCCGCGCACCGCGATGAAGAGTAGTCCCCGCTCACTGCAACTAGAGAAGAGCCCACGCACAGCAACAAAGACCCAGTGCAGCCAAAAATTAATTAATTAATTAATTAATTTTAAAACCCCCCAAAAAACTATAGTAAGCATAAGATTCTATACCTGAAAAAATAGCTGATAGTAGAAATCTTAATAAAGACTTACTCCCAGGAAAGCTTCCAGATACAAATGGTTTTATTAGTGAATTCTTTGAAATTTTCAAGAAGCCAAGGCTAGCTTGATAAGCTCTGGATTTAATGACAAGCAGAGGGGGCCTTTCAGCACTGTCCCAGGATGGAAGGCCTAGACCCAGATACTCCATCTCCATTACAGCACCATCTCCACTGATGTCTATGCATAGGTAGCCTTCAAAAAAATTAAAAGAAGACCATACACATTGTTCTGTATCTTGCATCTTTTCATTTACCAGTACATCTTGACAGTCATTCCATATTAGTACATGTAGATCAATCTCATTTTTTCTACTGGCTGTTTGGTATTTAATTGTAAGAATGTAGCATAAATTTTTTGTTTTTTTAATACAGCAGGTTCTTATTAGTTATCCATTTTATACATATTAGTGTATATATGTCAATCCCAATCTCCCAATCCATTACACCACCGCCGCCCCTCGCCACTTTCCCCCCTTGGTGTCCATATGTTTGTTCTCTACATCTGTGTCTCTATTTCTGCCCTGCAGACCAGTTCATCTGTGCGATTTTTCTAGGTTCCACATATTGTAGCATAAAGTTTTAATTACTATGTTCTTGATCAGCCTTTAGAATCTTTCTGTGTCTTTGCTGGGAAAAAAAACAGTATTGCAGTGAGCATCTTTACATACATATACAAGGTTATCTGCAACATAAATCCCTGTTTCTGAGTCCTAGGATATGGATATTTTACATTTTGTTAGAGAACCATTTAAGGGCTTTAAAACTTTAGATAGTAACTTCCATATTTTAAAGCTCTTTTATGAATCTTGTCTTATGTTAAGTATTATAAATAAAATCAGTCAATTTGGCATTGCTTAAAAGACAAGTGTTAATACTTTGCCTTTTTGACCTAGAAATTTTTCCAACTAGGTTTCATTTTAGCTTGTGCTAATTAATTCAAGTCAGAGCTAATGGCCTAAATTCTTTTGAATGACCCCTCTGGTTCCGTGATTGAAATCAAGTCAAATGTGGTGATTGTCAACTGTGATGTTTGACAGGTTTCCCAGTTTGCATCTTTATACATCATATGCCTATAAATCTACTACATAGACACCCATCTATAAATATGCCATCTTATTTGTAACCTTATAGATAAGAATTCGAGATCCAAACCAGGGAGGTAAAGACATAACAGAGGAGATTATGTCTGGAGGTGGCAGCAGAAATCCTACTCCACCCATAGGCAGACCCACATCCACACCTACTCCTCCTCAGGTAAGACAGAATGTGCCGTGATGGATGATGATGTGTATTTTTTGTTCACTAACCTCTACTGAGCTCTTCTTTCTTGTATAGCCACTTGACTGTACTTTTCCTTTCTGTCAGTTGTCTCATAGCCTCGAATATCTAAATGATATTTAAACAGACATGTTGTTTCTCTTTGTAAACTGTTATAACTTCCAACTTTTTATTGGTAATATTTCTCTGTATTGTCTTCACATTCAGAGCATAGCTGCTGCCACTCTTCCTAATGAGCTATTATTGCATGGTACCAAAAGGAGCTGCATTCCTATGGAAACCTCATCATTAAATGAGTATTTTATATTTTCAATATGGAGTATTAGGAGTTAAATGCTACACTCTGATAATATAAACATTAAAATTGAGAATTTAACCATTTTTATTGGACTGTGTTGTTTGAGATGATTGCCTGTGTTATTCAGAGCATATTTAAATGTATTATAGGTATATCTCTTACTTTTTAGTACTACATAAATGAGCTTGTTGAGTGCAGGGTGTCTTCTTTAATTATTTACAAAGGTTATTAACAAGTTCTGTCAAACACCTTTTTGTTCCTGTTGCAGAATGTGGTTATTGTGATCTTCTAAGAGTTCACTTTCTTGCTTTTAGACATCAAGGCTTTCCAGGAGAAGCTGAGGTTTAGCAAACTATAATAGAAAATGGACGCCCCCCCACAAGTTTGACAGAATTTTGGTTTCATCATGGGGTTACTTTAAATTCTGCTAAACCATTCAGAGGAGAAGAGTGATTTCAAATCTTCAAATTATCTAAAGTGAATATGCTCAGCATATAAAACAGACATAATCAAAGTTGTTGAGGTCTAGGGATCAGCTTGCTTCCCCCTCTTGTGGCCGATTGGTGAGGTACTTCTCAGAGCCCAGTTCACAAAACAAGTGATGTGGATGATCAAATATAAGGCATTTCAGAATGACAGACTATTGACTTGATTTTAGTAGTACTATATAGGTTTAAAAAAAGTTCTATAAAAATTGAGCTCACAAACAGATGTCTAAGTTTAGAGCCCCTTGAAAATCTGTGAATTTTGAGTCGACCTAAAACTTGGGACTTTGTATAATGATGTGTTTCACTTGGAAATGATGATACTCTCTGGCTGACTTTTATCTCAGTCTTCCATCATCTAGCTAAGTATAATATGTAACCATCTAGATATATGAATTGTAAGGTTATATTAATGATTGTTAATAGGACTTTTCACCATTCCCTATTATTTCCCCAGGGATATTCCAAATCTGGAATGATTGAACAGGGCTTATACTTAATCTTGTCCCTGTATGTAAACATGGGACAAGCACCATATACACATTTAAGTTAATTCACTTATGTGCTCTGTTAGGTGGGAACATACTATAGGGAAAATTTAGGATTAGTTGATCGGGGCAGTTCAATTTTGGTCTGTATTTTCCCCACGTTAATTAAAATATTGCTACTGTCCAACTATGTAGTTGACAACCTTTTGTTTCTTTGTGTTTAAATTCTCAACTTGAATATATATTAGTATATCTTTTTGCATTTTAATTCCCCGTGGGTTGGTTTGTTTTTCTTTAATCTTACCAAGCTTGATCCTACCCTCTTCTGGTTATCTCTCTGTCCTTAGTCACAGGAATCCTTTTGCTCTTTATCTTTCCCCAGGGATCCCAGGCCTGAATCCGAATGTATGTGTTTGGGTAATCATAAAGCCCATTAAATGTACATTTTTATTTGATAAAGGTCATCAGTCAATTATTATAATGTTGGTAGTTCTTTTTGAGGTGTAATGTTGTCTTGAAGCATCAGTTCATTTTATTAGGTAGTTTGCATTTAAATCCACACTTACCGATCTGTTGTCTTTCCAAATGCATGAAATTCATGGAATGAATAAATAGCCTCTTAACAGACATATGTACTAGAAATATTTCATTTTCCTCTTAAGAACAACAACAGCGCAAGTGTGATGATGGCAACCGACACTTGGCTTCATTTTCTAGAAATTCATGGAGAGTGGTGCACATAGAGTAGGAGAGGATATCCCTGGTTAGGGGAAGCAGTCATTAATGCCTGATTGTTATGTCATGTAAAAATGTTGACCCAGTGTTTCAAAAGAAGCTAGAAATAAATCTGCGAGTTTTAATCGGCAACTAATTCTACTAATAAATAACACTATGCCAGCCAAATAAGATCCTTCAGGTTTAAACTAAAAACTGCTAGTTTGTAGCCTTGACCTAATTCTAAATAGATCCTAGACCACAGTCTTAGTAAGTAAGACTGCAGATGAGACAACCCTTTTCAGAATTTATGACTAAATAGTAAATACTGTATTGCTTTTGGCCTTACGGAGTACCTGCTTTGAGTCACAATTGCATGTGCTGTGAATAGCAAAGCCCTTTCCCTGTCATTGAGCTCATCCCAGTCTCTTCAAGGGAGACAGAGGATACTTACTAATATTTGACCGATCCTCCTGTGGAATGTATACCAAGAATTATTAAAGCACAGAGGCGGCCAAGTGGGTCATATTTATAGCACAGGCTCGAATGTGTTGGATCACAGAAACCTATTAATGGTACTTGGTACAGGTGAGATAGTACAGGGGAGAGGTTTAAAGGTTTGGCTTAGAATTAGATATACTTGGTTTCAAGTCCTAGTTCCACAACTGAATTTTGTAACTTTAGCCAAATTACTTATCTTCTAGAACTTTAGCTTCCACATTTTAAAAAACAAGGGAAATAAATATCATATAGAGTTATTATAAGTATTAAAGTGCTTAAGCTTGGGACACAATGAGCATTCAACAAATGTTACCTGTTATTAGTATTACAATTACTGTTATTTCAGAAGGCACAGAGAATGACTGGAGGAGTCTTGAAGGCTTCACAGCAGAGATGCCAGTTGGTCTGAGTTCCCAGATTGCTATTCACAAAAATGGAAAGAGAGAGAAGGGTATTCCAGGCAGAGTGGCAGCATGTGCAAAAAGGCACATGGAGATGGGAAATTGAGCGAAGGGAGACTGTTATCATTTCTAGCGATAAATTGGGAAGTCAGTTGAAGGAGAGGAAGCCAGTGAGAGAAATATCCAGCAATTGGTTACTAAGTAAGGATTATAAAAAGGGTAACCCTATAATTTATCATCTAAATTGGGGCAGTTTTAGAAATGAATGGGGATGCTATTAATCATTTTGCTGGGACAACAGGCATAAACCAGTACTGCCCAGGTAAACACATTGCATGGTTCCCTTAGGAGTCAGAGAGAGGGAAGAATCAGAGGTGATTCTTCAAGCTTAGATACTGGGATTTATAGTAAAACATAACATGGAGTGTACATGGGATGTTTGAAAAGGGGGATAATGAATGATTTTGGCAAGCAAGCAAGCTAAGAAGAGTTAATTGAGAGAAACTGCATTGGAGGAGGAGAATGGAGAGGAGAAACAGGGTTTTGCTGCTTCTGTTTTTGTCCTGAAGAGTAGATTGAATTTAAAATTGTCCTGCTTCCTGAGTTTTAAAATGATCTGTGGAATAACTCCTTGAGATTTTATATCTCAGATGTATTAAAGATATAGAAATATGTGTAATATATGTGCCCATTCAGATGATCATAGTACACAGACAGAGGTGCATGAATGGACAGAATACTAGAGTACTTGATGCTGGTCGGTCTCCACTCTGTCTCTTAGATTTATGACCTTGGGTCAGAACGTGAAGCCCTTTAAACCCCTATTTTTTGATATGTAAAATGAGGGATTATACTAAGTAATCTCAGAGTTCCCTTTTAGTCCTTAAATATTTAAGTTGGAAAGAAGGGAACATTTTTGTTACTTTCCCTCAGCATCAGAGTCTCTCAGCTATATCTCTGTTGTTGATAGCAGTGAGGCACAAGGAACGTTTTCACATTAAGAAATGTGCCAGCTTCCTGAAAGTCATTTTGGACCCTGCAGGGTAAAAATAAGTGTATGGTGTTGTACGGTCAGCCCTCCCTATCCACAGGTTCTTCATCAGCTAATTCAAATAACCAGGGATGAAAAATATTCAGAAAAAAAATTTCAGAAAGTTCTGAAAAGCAAAACTGGAATTTACCATGCACTGGCAAGTATTTACAGAGCATTTACGTTGTATTAGGTATTATAAGTAATATAGAAATGATTTAAAGTACCTGGGAGGTTAAATGCAAATACTATATACTTTTTCATATAAGGGACTTGAGCACCTGAGGATTTTGGTATCCACGGGCTGTCCTAGACTCAATCCCCCATGGATACTGAGGGACGACTGTATAGGCAAGGCTTCCAGAATTGTCTGCTTCCAAAGGGGGTGGTGAAGTAAAATCACTTAAAATTTTAAAACGAGCTATATATTTTCCTTCCTCTCCCTACTCCCTCTTGTTCTTTTTTCTGTTTTAAGAATTACTCTTTTTTTTTTTTTTTTGCGGTACGCGGGCCTCTCACTCTTGGGGCCTCTCCCGTTGCAGAGCACAGGCTCCGGACGCGCAGGCTCAGTGGCCATGGCTCACGGGCCCAGCTGCTCCGCGGCATGTGGGATCTTCCCGGACCGGGGCACGAACCCGTGTCCCCTGCATCGGCAGGCGGACTCTCAACCACTGCGCCACCAGGGAAGCCCAAGAATTACCCTTATCATGAAGCACAGATGTAACTTGGGGTAGAGTCCTATGCCACAGAATATAGGGACGGGTGAAAGATAATTGATTGCTGGCACATATTAGGGAAGATACAGCCTCTCCTGTCTTTTGGGAAAATTACCAAAGTTAGCAGGTTATTCAGTCTTTTGAAGAGCTTCTTACAAACTTGATACCTGGAAATCATCTGGCCAGTTGTTACCTAGCCTCCGGAAATGTACCAGTTAATCTCCCAATAGCAATATGCGAGAATACCCCTTTCCTTACATTATGGCTTATTTGATAGATTTAAAAATGGTATCTAGTTTAATTTTTATTTATTGATTTGTATAGTTAAAAATTATTTCTTTTT